CTGATAATGAACGATGACAATTGTTGGAAGCTCAAGCATAAATTCCAATTTATGCAATTCTATAGGTCAATTTAATGAAAGAATAGAATATATGTGTTTTCTAGGTTACCATAATGAAACAAAAAAACAAAAAACAAAAAATTGTTGGCAAAGTTTGTATCGTCGGCATTAGGTGGGGGTGAGAAACAACGTAATGTTGAGCTTCCTTTTAGCACAGCAGCTGGTACTGATGGATGATGTTTTTGCACTCAGCACATATTCACGTTTGTGTTACATAAAACTTTCTCCTTTGTTACATAATATTTGCTCATCAAAAATTTGTGGCAAGAATTATATATTTTTAATTAATGAGTCGTCAATGAATTATTTGAAATTTGAAGCATTGCAATAGTGAAACGTTAGTTTCTCAAAATTGCTTGAATTTATTATACCATGATTAAAAGTCACAATCCTCAACTTTTGATTGGATTTTTCTCAACTGTCGCGGGGGGAGAAGAGAGGAGGAAACTAATGTGAATTGTAAACAAACCAACCCTAATAATTCCATCATTGGTTTCCCATTACACTCAGATGACAATGACCCATTAAACTCGTCCGATTTACAGCTCTAGGGACATCGGGTTTTAGAGACATCTCGCCGCATCCCGGTTCACCTATTATATTGTTGTATATCCCTCAAACCTCAATTCCACTCCCTGCATGGTGGACACTGCCTATATTAAATTTGATAATCGAACAAGTATATTTTACCAGTAAGTTATGCCTATAACTGATGCCACCAGCTGTGTTTGAGTGATGATAAATGGATAACTATTCGGCCCAATCAGCCTAAAACTAAAATCTAATTACAACTATTATAATTAAATGTTGTATTGTGCTTTTTATTAATGATGAATTCGTGAGAGGGCGCAATAATGGCACGTGTGAACCGTAAAACCGTTTATGGCTCTACATAAACATTCAAAAGGGCAACAAATTTGCATCACAGTGTGTTGGAGAATTTATATGCCATGAAAATATGACAACAGTTTATTGCCATTTTGAGATGTAGAGGAAAATTGATGACTACTCACACATCATATCACAAGCAAATCATGACAAATTGACAAGGCCCATATTTGATTAATTTTTTTTTCTTTTCATAGACTTGATTGTTGCAACTCCTTCCTCTTCCTCCCAGGAGAGAGTAAAACTTTTAATGGCTCATCTTCCCCAGGGTTATTCTGTTAGCACTCCCCTAGTCCCCCTTTATTTCTCCTCCTTTCATTCTTTACTCTATTCTTTTGCAAGCGTTACGACACACATTTTACTGGGCAGTTGTATTGGCCTAGCCGGTTTCAGTATTCATCGCACGTTGAATACTTTTTATTACGGCCACCTCAAAAAAAGGTACAATAAGCATTTTAGAAGAATCACGTAACGATGTAACTGCGTTTTTTCCGGTGATTGATTATTGGGGCGAATGATGAATTGTCATATTAATATAATCACAACTTACTTACTGATATGATACATTCAACGAAACGAAACGATATCCTTTCATTTTTTAGATACACAACACCTGTCACGTCATTTCCCCCCCAGTGAACTCATTCACCCAGAATTTAATTTCTCATTTTCCAGCTAAGCGAGGAACATCAAAGAGTCCTCTCTCCCTCTCCCTCTCCCTCTCCCTCTCTCTCTGGTTCAACTTGCCCACATACTTCCGACGTCACCATATTTCCTCATTTATACCACTCAACCCGTTGTATATATGTATAAAGAACCATTGCCAGCATCCCACTGCCAATTCATTGTTTGTCTTTACCAAGAGCCTCTTATAATTCTCCAGCAGGCTCAGCCCTCATTTTGCCCTTCTCCACTCGATCTTCAGCATTGAAAATGCCCCTCCCCCTCGTAAAAAAAAGTAGATAATTAAAGTCCATCACAATATCGTCCAACTTCAATTGAATTATTTCCACCCCGTTAAAAATTTGTTGTTAACCAGCCAAAAAAATATTTACTCTCGGCAATTTAAAAAATAATTTCCCACAGAAAAAAAGAAAATAACAGAAGAGAACAATTTTAGTTGTCATATTTTTCGTCATTATCATCTTCCTTTTTATTTTTCTGACATTTGAAATAAGAGATCACAGAACTCGTTTTGTTCCTCTCCACTCACGTTTTCATATTTCACATTCTCTATCCTTCATTTCTCCGGTCGTGGTTGATTTCCCAAGTACGTGGTAGCTGTCTTTTTCTCCTCATCCATTTGTATTCTTTTTTTTTTCATCTTATTCCACTGGTCTTGCTTTTTGTTTCGCCATGAGGATGAAACCAGAAGGGGAGAGAGCTATAGGCGTGAAGATGTTAGTGAGACAGTGCGACCTGGAAGTTTCAGTAGAGTGTCTACGGAGGAACGTAATATTCCTACTACTGTTGTCGACCAACTGTCGACAATATTCGTGCACCTTTTTTTTTTTTCTCTCCTTCACTGTACTCCCCCCCCCCCCCCCCCCCCC